ATAATTAATTTTGTGTGGAAAAAATTAGGCAAATGTTCTTGATCACAAACATATTTTACAATTTTGCGTTTAAATTTTATGGATCAAATGAAAATAAACTTTAGGGTCTCTATTCAACTCTCTAAAATCCAATTATATTCTTTTGTTAACAAATATAACCTTAAATTCTAACCAAAATTCTAAAGGGCATACTTAAAACTATACTTATTTTATTATACGTAGCTGTTTAATAAGATAAAATTAAAATTTATTAAATCAATTTAAATAGAAAGTGAATAAAAAATTATGTCAATATGGCAAATTAGTAATATGGCAATACAACATTATAGAAATATGCGTGGCATTACAGCACTACGTATACGTAGCATTATTTGTATCATGATTTGGTAATACGGTTTACGACTTTTACAGCATTCAAAATTTTATGCACAATTTGTTAACAGCTGTATATGCGTATATGAATGCTAAGGTCAGGTCAATATGTAAATAATCTATTATAAATAATAATTGGTAAAGTTTTCAGAGCTTTGAATATAATTTACTAGTGCATCCGCCCGGATTTCAACGTAACTACGTTGCGCATTTACCTTATTGATGCTACCAAATTTTTTCTCAAAATTTACACTACACTTAATATTGCAATCTAATTGGCTGCGCAGAACTTTTGGGGATAATTATTGTTCTTTAGACTTTACGCTAGGGTGATCAACACACTAATAAATCAAACAATAGTTATGTACTATATGTTTAATTATTATGAACGGATTTTTTAAAGGTTATTTCACATACGAATTTACATATGAATTCGCACTGATTTAGGTACACTTTTTTACCTAACTAACATACAAAATCGCATCGTATTTTTTTAAAACTTTGATTTATTAGTGTGTTGATCACCCTAACTTTACGCCATTTCTACTTTAGAGGTGCAGGTGAAACTTCCGTAACTTTATTATGTTACACAATAGTTACGGAGTTTCGCCTGCACCTCTATTCTACATACATCATATACTCAGTTTGGTATTTAGGATTTATAATTTTCTAGGTTAGGGTATAGGTTAGTGTTCCGATTCGGATTAAAAACTCGGTTTGATCCGGGATTGAACCAAAACCGACTGAATCCGAAATTTCGGTTTGAATCCGGAGCCAATCCGAAGTATTTAATGGACAAATATATTAACATGGTCGATTTGGAATTTATATATCGATGTTAATGCAATGTGAAAGAAAAAGCCGGACCCAAACCTCAAAATTAGGCTTAATCTGGGCAATCCGAAACTTTTGACTCAAACCGATTTTACGGTTCGGATTGGATGATAATCCAAATCCGTCGGATCCGGATTAATTAATTATATATACTAGAAAATTTCAATCCACTTAAATTTTGTTCCCACTTATATACAACGATTGGTTAATTTACCGAATAAGCCTACCCGATGTTACGAATTTTTCTAATATTGTATCAGTAATTCTTACTATATCTGTTAGAAAATGGCTGTGCATGGATTTGAAACCACAGATCCTGGTTTGAGATCATGTATACCACAGATCTTGGTTTGGGACCACAGATCAGAGACACGAATTTATGCGATAGGAATGCGTGTGATACTAAGTTAAATGGAGTCCATTTTGAGTTCGAAGAACAAACACGGATCAGTCCGACAACACGGTTATTTCCGAATAATAAAATATTTAACTTGCAATTTTTAAATACCTGAATACAGCACACAGCTACGTAAAAACTTTACAGAAACTTAAACATCTTAATACGCAGTAACTGAATAGTAACGACGTAGCAAAACTGATTTTCATTGTTTAATCAAAAAACACTTGCTTTAAATAAAATTTTAAGAGCGCATCAGTAGTTTATATTGAAATAAAAAAAATCAACTATTGACAAAAAAATCTACACACAAGCTTGTTATCCTCTCTATAAAAATTATCTTTAAATTCAAGCGCTTTACTGCTCAATGTAATTCTTTTTGAATTCATACAAAAAAATAATAATTTTTTTCTTAAGACAAATATATTTTTTTAGGTTATAATATCATATTTTACACTCTAACATACTACTAAAAAAACGCTATATAATTCGCTCGCATTTTAACTAAATTATGCGATTTAGTGCGATTTGGTTTAATCACACTAAATCACATAATTTCCGTGTCCCTGCCACAAATCTTGTTTTGAAATCCAGATTTTGGTTTCAGACCATGGCAATACGCGTAAACTAATAAATCAGCGTTTTGCATAATAAATGAAGTACATTCAACTCTCCGTAAGTACACCCCGTGCATTTATTAAAAGTTCTATATGCATTTAGAGAGGGTATATATAGTGCGTGCATTTATGGAGGGTTGACTGCAATAACGTATTTTGACCTTACCTACCAACTAAACTACATTCCTTAATAACCCACTATCATTAATTCCGAATCCTTAATATATGCTTGTAACCCTGAGCTAATTTGACCTCACGTTAGCCAAGTCTCTCCCTGGTTATAACACCAGATACTGTAATGATGGGTTATCCGGATGGCTTCCACTCGGCAAATGAAGACTTAATAAAAATTTAACAATAAATCTATTAACTTGGTGATGACAATAACCCCAAAATATTAGCAACTTTTGTAAAGTTTGACGAAAAAACTTTTGAAATAATATATAATATGAATCAAATTTACAATATGAATCAACATGAAGTATGAAAATTTTAATGGACGAGTGTTGTGTGGTATATAAATATAATACTATATATGTATGATTTGCTTTAAATGCTTTGATTACAAATTAATATTTATATCAATTAATGTGCATGAAAGCTATATTTAATGATTGAATGGAGCCAAAAGAAACCTATAGAATGAATAAAATTGTAAAATTTCTCATATGTAACTCACAGGTGTGTTATTTTTGGAGTCTAAGTTCGGCAAATCAAAAAAAAATAAAAAATCCTAATCTCAAAATAACATACAGTACATATGTATTCGAAGTAGCGCATATATTCAAAATAATGTGCAGGTGGACACAATGTTGTACACAAGATAGTTGAAACGAAGTTGGGCATTGGAAAAAAAACGAAAATAGCCAAATTTTTACCAATACAGCCTAGTTTAGTCAAGTATTTATGATATTTTTGATACGTATAGCTTTATAATTACTATACATAATCTTAAATCTTTTAATGCACAGTAACTGCATAGTAACTATGTAGTTACAATTAAATTAAGATATATATTTAAGTTTCTGTAAAGTAAACAAAAGTTGATCAAATTAAGAAAGCTCAGGGCGGTCAAAATGCATGATATTTAATATGGAGTAATTCTTAGTTCTAATATAAGCAGTAGAATGCAGAGTTTCTCCAAATTGCAAAGTTTAGGCATTATACATCTAACATGCATAACTTTTAATGATTACAAAACACTTAAAGATGGTTACTTTCTTGACATATCATGTTCGATTACTGCATATTATTATTATTATTGCGTATTATTATTAAAAATACAGTAAGTCACTATATATATTTAAATTGAACTAGTTCAATATTTGGATGACATGAACCTAAATCTGTTCAGATGAATTTGATCTTAACGTTTTAAGGCTCCTCATTTTTTCTCTATTCCTGTATTCATTTCAATCAATAAATGCTAAAGTTTGACAAGTTTAAACTTGGGCTTGTAAACCAAAAAAGGGGTTTGATATAGAAATTTATTTTGTTTATTTTAGTTACTATGTACAATAATTGTGTACATGCCAAAACAACAAATATTTGATATTATGTAATTTTAAATTCATTAACGTTAAAAAAAAATATCGTAATTAGAACTTATTCGAATTCGTCTATATAAATGAATGATTTTCTGTTAATAAAATGTTGCTTTCGTTGAAGAGTGAAATACACTAGGGGGCATTGGGGTTAAATGCTGTATATAGATTTGTGCCAATAGTAAACAGGGAAAACATGAGCATTTTGTTATTTTTATATAGAGATTAGGAGTTATCTCATAACCCTGCAGCTTAATTATATAATACGTATAATGCTTCAATTTTGAGGACTATACATGTTATTCCGTGTTTATGCGTCGATCTATTTCAGATGCTACTATTTAATTATGCTTTCATATGCACAATTACAATGATAATGATGATATGAAAAGTACCCGCACAGGTTGGCGCCGATGTGCGTAGAACTCTAATTTATGTAACTACCGGTTGAGGATACATACATATACAGTTAGTTTTGATCGTTAATCATAAAGACTCATTTATTCATAAGATGTGAATCAGGTCATAAGAGATGTGCTTTATTATCGAGAACGCGTTTGCTATATATATATTCTACTTCATAGTAATGCTAATCCTTTCTATGTCTATATGGTGGAGTGAAATATTTTATAGACGAGCGAATTCGCGAAAATCTTAACGTTAACCTACAAGATTTTCGTACATATTATTCACGAAACTATTGTTTTAAAAGAAGTTAAGAATCAGGACGCTCATTTATGCACATACAATACGTACGTACGTACGAGCAATATGCCAAAAAGCATGATATTAACATAAAAAATAGAAATTAAATATTTACTATTATTAGTACACTTCGTTCTCAAGGTCAGAAATGCAGATATTTATTGATGTGATAAGGTAACCTTAGGTGTGAAGGTTTATATACGTGCGTACGTACAACAATGTAAATACGACAATAAGTTTACTAATAAGTATTTAATGTACCAAAACCACAATAAATCATATGGTTGAAAAAGTGTTGCACCAGGTTTTAATTAGCATAACAAATTGACAAAAAAGATAAAGATCTGAAAAATGTTTTAGCTCTTTAGTAGTACTGAAATTTGCTAATAAATATTTGTGTATATACATATATATGTAAATACATTGTATGCGACTTTCACTGCATTTCATTCGAAGCTATCGCAAAAAAGCTATGTAAATAAGTAGAACATATATGTGTATGATTGACTAGGTTTTAAACTTACGTCAATTATGGTTCCTATGTATATGATTCTTTTAATTCTTTTAACGTTGAGATTATTGGCAAACGTTGCTTCTACGCCTTTGGCTAGATTTGCCCATGCCAGCGTTCTAGTTAATTCAAATTTATATTTTATTGGCGGTGAATTGCTAAACGGTGGAGGCGCTTCAAATGACTTGTTTGTTCTTGATTTATCAGTTTCTTTTAACACTTCGTCTCCAAAATGGATAGATCTTTCTCCTGTCCCAATTAGTAGTTCTTGGTGTACAGCTTCATTGGGTGGATCTAATAACGATATAATATTTTTAATTGGAGGTCTAATGCCCGATCCAAATAATAGTTCACTTGTTTATACATTTAACACTATTGACCAAACCTGGTCTTCCCCAAAAATTTCTGGAATTTCTCCACAAAGACGTAAAGAAATGGCATCCATTGTTAATCCTGATGATGAAAAAATTTACATATTTGGAGGTCTATCTGATAAAACCACTGGTTCATCCAAATCTGTAGAATTTAATGACTTTATTATTTTAGATACTATCCTTTTAACTTGGACTATGAATAAATTTTCATTTGCACCTTCAAAAAGAGCTGGCCATACATTGACAAAGTGGAACGAAATAATTGTTTTGATCGGTGGGAAAGAAATATACACTAATGGTACTACCAAACTTGTAGACATGAATAAAGTATGTATTTATAAATTTACTTACCTAAAGAGATTTAGCGTAGATCAATTTACTTATTTTCATATTTATAATTTGCAGATTTGGACATACGATATGAATTCTGGAATATGGTCACTTCATGTAATCTTCTATTCTTTTTATGCTTCAAATTCATGTCAACATTTGTTAACAAAAATTTATAATTATCTAGACGGCCGCTGGTGACGACATTGATTCTCGTATCTTTCATACTGCTGTACTTGGTAAATATATGTAAATATTTAATTATATTGGAAATATATCTAAAAAAGCTCTTTCACTACTTTATAGATCATCACGGAAGAATAATTATTTATGGTGGAATGAATGATAATCCCTCAGAACCTAGAGTTTCGCCAGATCTTGCAATACTTGATAATACGACAAACCCGTTTAAATGGATAATACCAAAGATCCCGTCAGATAATGCTGCACCACCTCTTACAGCTCATACCGCAGTAATGATGAATCACTATATGATCGTATCATTTGGTAAATAATTGCATTTTTTTTTTATATAATTTTTAACTTTATATGATCTTTAAATTCTTTAAGTTTCAGTGGTTCAGTTTTAGTATAGGGAAAGTTTTTTTAAAAAGAAACAAATTTCCTTTAAGGTTGTTTGAAATCTTGAATTTAAGCATCATGATTAATTTTTGAATAGCTTAGGAAAAATTTTTTTTTTTTTTGCCACCTATACTAAAATTGACCCATAACAAATAATAAGATAATCCCATATTTAAATGGTTTATACAAATTTATAGAATATTAAGTAAAATTAAATTAGTATTTATTTAATACAAGTAAATTAATTTTTTAATTAATAATAATTATAATATTTTATATAGAGAATTAATATATTAAAATCAAAATTTTTTTTTTATAGGCAAAAATACTGCTGCTATAAATAATGAAAGTCCTGTTATTTATTTGTTTGATACAGTAACCTACAAATGGGTTACGTCATATTCTCCAAGTAATGATTGTACGTATTATATTGTTTTTTTTTTGTTTTTAATTTTCAATTAGTATAAATATTAACAATTAACTTTTCAAAAGATAACCCAAAAATTTTAGTTGCATATGACTCATCAACCGCAAATGAAACATATGATACATCCACAAATGGTACAACCACAGGCATAGAAGATGCAAGTAATGGTCTTAGTATGCCAGCAATTATTGGTATAGTCGTTGGCTCGGTCTTTTTTGCATTGTTGCTTTTGCTCCTTTTTTTCCATTGTTATACAAAGCGTATAAAAAATGAAAGCCCTATAAGCAATATTAAAACTGAAAATATAACAATAGAAACAATAATAGAACCTACATCAAACAGTGGTCAGACAAATCACCTTCCAATAAGTTCTCATCAGGTTCATCATACACCTGAACTTACTATAACGATTCCAAAACGTCCGTCTTCTTTAAGTAGTGGTTCCATTCTTATGTCGCCATCAGAATCTCAACGATCGAAAAGTCCTCAGCATGTGCAATTCACAGATCAACCAAAAGCACCAAAATCACAAGTAGATTCTAAGCAATCGAAAGTGGGTTCTTCTCAACAATCGCAAGCAGATCATCAACAATCACGAATAAGTTCTCAATCATCACAAGTAGATCCTCAACGAGGATCACTACAACTCCAGGAAGTAGATCCACAACAATTCCAACGAGGATCACAGCAACTCCAGCAAATAGATCCACAACAATTCCAACGAAAATCACAGCAAATCCAACCAGTTGATCCACAGCAATTCCAGCAAGTTGATCCACAGCAATTCCAGCAAGTTGATCCACAACATTTTCAACAATTCCAGCAAGTAGACCCACAACATTTTCAACAATTTCAGCAAGTAGATCCACAACATTTTCAGCAATTTCAGCAAGTAGATCCACAAATGGATCCATCTCAATTTCAACCAATACCGCCATTCCAAATGCATCCGCCGCCGCAATACCAACCAACACCATCACAGCCTTTCCAACCTGTGGATCCACTATACCGACCAATATATGCGGTACCATTTCATCCACAGCATCCACAAATATACCCACAGCCATTCCCGCCAATATATCCAATACATCCGCAACAAGTTATGTATCCCCCATATCAGGGTGGCTATCCTCAAGAAGGTTATCCTTCAGGAGACTATTCTCCAGCTGGTTTTTCTCCAATTCAACCTAGTTTTGGAATTATACCTGAAGTTGCTGAAGATACGCCTAATGATAGTCGACGAAGTTATCAACAATATACGTCTAATAGTGAAATGGATAAAAAATTTCCTGGCCCTAAGGGTTAAAAAAGCAATATGTTATTATTATTATTATTATTATTATTATTATTATTATTATATTATTATAAAATATTTTAATGTAAAAAAAAAATATGCATGTACACATTGTATTTTTCGTTTTTTTCTAAGTCATAAAATGCTGATTTGTAGAACTTTGATGATATTAACGCGTTAAAAGCAGTTATTTATGCAGTGTTATTTAATGTTTTTTTTCATTAGTTGAAGTGAATAAATAATATATTTCTTTCAGAGCATAAATTATTTTAAGCATTTTGTTCTCGTAAAAGTAATTGGCCTTACTAAAGATATTAACCTATTAATAAATGTAAGACTTAAAAAAATTATGAGTTAGTTTGTTGATATCGAAAGGTACGTCTCTAAGCAATCCAATGGAAGTAAATATATCTATAGTTAGAAGTCTATACTAACTGGATATTGTAATATTGTATAACTAACCTACTCTAGAGAAACCCCTCTTATAGTGTTTTTCTAACCCCTATACCCACTTTTTAATACCTCACTAGTGTCTAGTTTCCTTTTTGTTTTAGAATCTCCCAAACCAGTTAGTCATGCAGCACCCGCAGCTGCCCAGAGACCTGGTGACCAGGTTGGTGTTGACAAATCTCCCGTGGACTTATGCACTTCTTACATTAAGGATCCGTCTCCAGAATTTGGTATTCACAGTTTGTATAGTCGTAAGTAAAATGTTTAAAATTAAATGAAACATACATTATATGCTTATATAAATTTGTTAATTATAAGAGCTTGGACATTAAAGTACTATGTGAATGGAACACGCCAAAAAAAAAAAAAAAATTGGACATCAAAAATGTACAACACTGTACATAGAACATATCGATTCATGTGAGTTACAGACGGTTTGCATTTCATTCACATTGTAGAAGGTATGCAGCTCGACATAATAACTATAATGAGTCTAAACGTATTTCGAGATTCCGTACTGAGATTATAAGCCAAACTCATCGCGCATAGAAGCGCGAACTGAAACAGGGCCCCTGAATACGGAGATATCACATTAATCGAGCCCGTTGTACGGATTGAATTTTTAGTACTATTGAGCTTAAGTGTAACCTTGTACGGATCCAGGTTTTTGTACTAATAAACATATGTGATATCTTCCTATTATCACCGCGGAGGTTCCAATGAGTGTATTCGGGGCCTTACTGAAACTCAAAAAGGAAACTGCAACAATATCACTTGAAGATAATATTATTTTAATTTCCTTTTTGAATCTCAATTCGCATCTCTAATCGCGCATAATACGTAGAATCAGTCAAATTACGTGTATGTATCATACTAATACTAGGAAAATGCCGCAACCGGCAGATCCTCGATTTTGATTGGCTAACGGTCGAGGAACTTCAAAATTTTGGCCCACATTACAAAATTGTTTATTAATTTCCGGCCGTAATTAACTTTTTAATTTTTTCATTACAAAAATAGAAATTTTTAAAAAATAAGCCCACATTATGGTAAAATTGGCCCGGGAACAATTTTCACTTAATGGGCGGCTGCGATTTCATTAGTAAATGCTTTAGATCCGGAGCATATCACATGATGACCATTTCATTACACAAACGCGTGAATGTGAACACGCGTGCGGACAGTTTTCAAATTACGTTTATGCAAATGCATCAAAAAGCAACTTTTGGGGAGAAGTGCATCAAAAACGCATAGAAATTAAGGATCCTCCGCTACGCTTCCGGCAATTAAACAAGCTACATACAATCTGCAGGATTACTCCTACAAGATATTCATTCTATTTTAATAGATGAATCAGCAATTTATCGTTGTAATTGAGAAAGATTTAGGAGGTCCGTACAACTATTTATGTAATTATTTCGGAGTTTTGAAGATTTTAACCTTTGTAAACGTCATAGTAAAGGTATATTTTTAATTTCAAGCGACCACTTTTCAACAGGGACACGGAAATTATATATAAAATATTCGATTTACTGATGATTAAAAAATGGAAGTGCGATTTAAAGCGATTTAAATGATGTTAACTGAATATAAAAAAAATTTTATCTCATAAAAAACTTCTCTATTTTTTAAATGCAACTTTTTAAATACTGCGCTCAACTAAAAACTTCAATTTTTTGCAGGTAAATGAATTATTTGACTATTATCTAAGTATGTTGTTTATTTTATATAAAAAAGGGTTCTGTTTAGCTGCAAGCTAAAAATAAAAATTATAATAATATTTCGCTCTTTTATAATATTATATAGCTATCATTATATTTAAAATTGTCCCTATTACTATAAGAAAATTACTTAAATTCCGTGAACTTGTAATAAACCCTAAATTTCCTGAACTTTGTAAACAGGAATTATCTTCACCAAAACATGTTAATTTCAATTTACAATTTTTAAAATTATTTAATAAATATAATATTTTTAAAATTGCTGATACTCCGTTTTGAGTTAACGTCAATGTGATGTTTGCAACGTCGCTCGCACAGCTTACTAAAGTCTTGACTTTTTCTCCAAACTGTTTAGCCTCGTCATCAGTATATCCATTATTCTTTGCCCAGGTTTCTGCTTGGCTATGAATGTACTCCCCTATTAGCTTCCAAAATGCATTAATGCAACTTAAATAATTACATATTTCGCGTATTAATGTCAATACATCTTTCTTAGCAATCTCTAGTATGTGCCTTTTAGATTCTAGTTCTGAGTGATGAACTAGTTCTGAGTGAGGAACTGGTTTGGGAGGAGACTCGTAAATTCTCTTTTTATATTTTGAGATGCAAAAAGAGAATAATAATTATTACCTATTGACTTTTTTATGATATTTTCTACTGCTCGCGTGTTTGTTATTAACAATAACCAAATGTAAAATAAATGAAATTTCATTATGTATTATTTTTAAATTTGTTCAAAAATTTTAATGAAAAATAATTGACGAGTATGGTTGGTAAAAAAACAGGTTTAAAACATTTTTTAAGGCAAGGATGATTAAAATCCGAATAGTTTTAAATATATTTAAGATAATAATCATCACCCATTTTTAATTGCGTAATAAAACTTTTGCAATCCTTATTGACAAGTATGATTAAACCAAATCACATAATTTTACACCATTTATGTTATATCAATGTCACATGTATTCATTAGCAGATTGATTCATCCTGGCTGTTTTCATAAATTCTGGGACACCTAAAAAAATTTGCCGATGATAATTTCGGCTAAATTCGATAAGTTTTTGATTTCGGTATGGTCAGTATAATAAAATAATTATAAAAGCTATTTTTGCATCATAATGATCATTTTACGATGTCATAACAATAATGTCAACGATTTTAAATTTTCGTTCGAATGCTTGTCCAACATGTTTGGTGTACTTAGTTTGTACGAAATTTTATGGAAAAAACTATTAATGTCAATCATTAAACCTTAACAAGAAATGTAAAAAGAAATCGAATATAAACTAGACTTTATAACAAATATATCGCTCGAACAGGTGCCACTATTAAAAAAGTTAAATATGATCGTGAATTTGTCGACTGGGTTAAAAATGAATCTCGGGTTAGGATTCCAAGCGACCAAGGTATTATTAATATCTGTCGAGAATACAAGAAAAATTATGATAAACGAAATTAAAATAAAAAAATTTTATGTTTATATTTATTTATATATTTTTAGTCTTCGACAAGAAACGAGAAATAAATAAATGCTTTCGTTTGAACGTCTTGCTAAAGAATAGGACTTGAAGTTTTATACAATTTTTTAAAAACTAATTTTCGTCAAAAAAAAAATAGATCTTATCAAAGAATAGGAATTGAAATTTTTTAAAAACAAAATTTAGTCGAAAAATAATTAGAAATGAATAAAGACTTCGTTTGAATGAAGATGGAACCTGCCAAAGAATAGTAATTGAAATTTATATAGTTTTTTAAAAACAAAATTTCGTCAAAGATTAATTAGAAATGAATAAAGGCTTCGCCAAAGAATAGGAATTGAAATTTTAAACAATTTTTTAAAAACGAGAAAAATAATTAAAAATGAATAAAGGCTTCGTTTGAGCAAAATGGATTTTGCCAAAGAAATTTTACACTATTTTTTTAAAAATGAAATGAAAGTATGCATGTCGCTGTATTGTAATATATATTAGTCACCTGATCTTATTAATTACGTATCTAATTGAATAAATCATTAGAGATCGATCCAAATGATATACAGTGACTAGAAAATCGAAATTGTGGACATGCTTATCAAATGCTGGATAGATATGAAGAAACGCTTGCGGATTTTAAACTATATGGAACACTAAACAGATATGATGAATCACTTGCCTGTTTAAATACATCGAGCCATATAATGAAATAACCGTGGAATAACTTATCAAGAAATGGGTAGATATGATGACTTAAATAAAACGTTAGAAATCGCACCAACCAATACAATATTGCGCCATCGTGCAGTAACATGGACAGGTATAGAAAATCACTTGCGGATTTAGGTAAATTATTTGAAATAAATCGTAATGGATCTATATAATCGTGAAAAGTTTTTTTTTATAAGTTAGGCGGGCTTAAAGAATCACTTATGGATTTAAATAAACCATTAGAAATAGAACCAAATAACGATTTTGCATTGGCTATTCGTGGACATGTTTATCTACAAATGGGTAGATATGGAGAATCACTCATAGATTTAGATAAATCACTATAAATATATATGCCCAAATAAAGCAGCAACGTTAAATAATCGTGGATTAGCTTATCTAATGATAGGCAGATATGAAGAATCACTTGCAAATTTTAATAAATCATTAGAAATCAAACCTGGTAATACAACAACCTTAAATAACCGTGGATTAGTTTACAAAGTCATGGGAAGACATGAAGAATCACTTTTAAACAACTTGTTGGAAAGCGATCCGGATAATTAAACAATCGCGGATATTTTTTTTTATCTGAAGATGGAAAGATATGAAGAGTCCCTTAAAATTTAAACAAATCATTAGAAGTCGAACCAAATAATGCAGCGGCATTAGCTAATCATGGATATACATACCAAATATTAGGCATATATGAAGAATCCCTTGCTGACTTAAATAAATTATTAGAAATCTGACATAATTATATAATCATGGGGAAGGGTAATGGAAAGATATGAAGAGTCACTTAAAGTCTTAAACAAATCATCAGAGGTCGAGCCAAATAACGCAATAGCATTAAATATTCATGGAGAGATTAAGATTTCGTGGATTAATTTACCTAATGATGGATAAATATGAAGAATCGCTTGCAGATTTAAGTAAAACATTAGAAATCAAATCAGATGATATTGCCTTGAATTACTTTATAGAAAGATGGATGATTATGAAAAACCACTTGAAGACTTAAATAAATTATTAGAAATCAACCCAAATGATACAATTATTTAAAAAAATTTATCAAATAATGGGTAAATTTGAAAATGCACTTACAGATTTAGATAAATTATTAGAAGTTGAACCAAATAATGCAGATGCATTATAATCGCGTAACAATTTATCATATCACTTTCAGACGTAAATAAATTTTTAGAAATTAAGCCATGTAATGCAGAAGCATTAAGTTCAAGGGGAATAGTTTATCTAAGATTAGGAAAATTGAAGGCTCACTTGCAGATTTGAAAGTTGCGAAGTGAAACTCCATTACGACGGATTTGTCAAATTTAACTAAAATTTGGTCC